CACAGAGGAAACAAAATGATTGGCTCTTTTTGTATGCACCCTTTTCTTTTGCTGAAAACATACATACAAGTCACACGCTATTAAACATTCAGTGGTACGGCTTAATTTATCATGAGCACTTTTTTTATACAACTTCGAGCTTTCAGAGAAAATATTCAATATAACAGGTCGGACATAAATGGTTGCTATGAACTATCCTATGCATTACCTGATATCATCAAAGCATTAGAGCAGGGTAGGGCTGTACTGCATCAGTTACAAATTTGTATCCAATTAAAAGTTGGCATTATTTAATTTATTACTATTGTCTATTATTCTTTCACAAAGAATAACTGGGCGAGTTGGTACGTTGGTAGTCTTTCAACTCCATCGAATATTCAGGTCCTTTTAGCATTTTTTTCTTGCTTTTGCTTTTTAGTAGCGGCTTTCGCCACCACTAAGAAACGTGACATCCAAACTCACTTTATTTACATCACACAATCGTAAACTTGGAAAGCGTGCCGCTTCGGCATACGCAAAGAAACCGCGCGTCTCTACGGCAAAGGTATCGGCACAGGCAAGAAATCATGCTGCTCGCTCTTGTAACGTTTTTCTCGCTCCCGCTTTATGAAACAAATCGTTGGCGAGCTGTTGGGACCACACGTCCAGAACTAGCATAACCTGTGATTGCTTGAACTGCCGTCAGACTGCACTTGAACGCACTGCAAAAGCGTCGTCGGGCGAGCGTCGCAGGAAGGCGCCCGGAACAGGACCTCGGCTGGCCCTCGGTTCCGCCGCACGCGAATCTTTCTCACTCTGCGGAGAGAATCATACATTTTTAAGATACGCTCGTTTCGAATAACGAAATAATACCGGGTAGGGCATAGTTAGAATCAAGCATAGCTTAGCAAGCACACGGTACACGATAAAGTTTGAGAAGTTGGCCATGACTGTCCGCCCCTTACTTGCGTTGGTAAAACGCAGCGTTTCCCACCGTCCCAGCTCTCAGTAATCGCTTGCTATTCTTGAACACGGTATTCGTAAGTAAGATATCTAAAATATCTGCTAAAACAGCTAAAACGTAAAAAGGAAGCGATGCTCGAAGCCTCCGCAGCTCCAGCGGCGGCCGAACGGAAGCTGGTTGCAATAGCGATGGCCTTGCGCAGTCTTCAAAAGTCTATTTTTTGTTCTTTGTTTTTTTGAAGACAAAACTAAGGAAATCAATATATATAATATTAATAATCACGTCACTATATTAATTTTGTAAAAAATTAACAAATATTGAGTCAATCTTATGTTTTATCTAAACTTTAGGTTTTCGTTTTCAGTGCAAAACCGAAACTATCTCAAGCAATTTCTCCTTCGTCGCCAAGGCTATTCTGATTCATCTGCGCATGCTTGCACTCCTGGTATTTCGGCTTTTCTGGAAGGCGCGGATCTCGCGGCCAATAAATAACGAAAGCAACCTCATATTTTGAAACAATGAGCTCCAGCATCACATTTTTAATGGTCTGCAGTGAAATGAGAAATGAAGCATGCCTTTGTCGCAATATGTCAGCTATACCCGGTGCTATTTTTTAATCAACAGGTTTTTAGAAAAAGGAGGCTCACTGCCACGTTGATTCAGTCTTCAGTGTGTTGTGCGACTCGGCGGACCTTACATGGGTGGATAACCGTGGCAACATTTTTATTAATGAACTAAAATCCGTAAATTATCTTTTTTTACTTTGCTGTTTTAGAGGTAGAGCCTAACCCAATCAAAACTATTCGCGAAACAGCAAGGTGCTTTAAGATACTTATTTATCAATTTTTGCACTTTCTTCCCCCGATTCAAGAACCACGATCGGCAGGGGCGGGGAAAGTGGAGAGTGACTTAGCGGTTTTGACATGGCATGTCGGTGATGGCATGTTTGTTTGTGTTAACGAGAACTTCTCATATTGGAGTTCCATGCATTATTTAATTTTCTAGTGAAGTTACAACCCTCATAAAGTGTTGTCGCTTTCAGCATGAACAAACGTGCACCCTTTTGACAGCGTGCTTTTGATGGATGCTACAGCATCACACTTCCAACGGTGCGTCCGAAGCGATACGTAAGCATAACATCGTGCACACTGTCCAACGCGCAGTTTTTTAATCAAGCGACGAAAGGCAGACGTTTAGCTATAAACAACCCAAAACTCGTCGCCTTTTCGCAAATTGTTTCAGTTGGGCTAGAGTTTATTTTTAGCCCCTTTAAAATTGAAATTTCAACATGGTCAACTGCACTGTCAATTAAAAAAGTTAATTAGACAACGTACTGTAACGTTTATTTACTCATCTAATGTTCGCCGAGCCCCGCAAATATTGTGTGAAAACGGCATCGGCCTATCTATCGCGTTTTTAACGTGTTGATGTTAACAATCGCACTATACATATATATATATATATATCCGTTACTATAATTTTAGTACGCCGACTGCAAGCACTTAAAGTAGACCTTTAGTATACTTGAGTGCACTTCTTGTATACTGATTTTGAACTACTTTTTACCGCGGGCACTACGATTCTACTACATGTACTAGTTTTGTACGGACGAGTATACTTTCAGTACACCACCATTTTTACTGGAAGTATACTTTAAGTACACCTAAAGTATACATTCAGTACGAAAACCTCACTGAAAGTATACTTTTAGTATGCTTCAGTACACTTCGAGTATACTGATTTTGAACGACTTTTCACTAAGGGTATCAACACTGATTAACTGGCCAATATATTTTGAAATGCCTGGATCGAACTTGTGTGTCACAAAATAAAGTTCGCGCGAACAACTTCTTTGGCTCAATAATTGCGCTGTGGGACACATGTTGAGTTATGAAAGAATACGGAATTACCATCCATACCGAAAAATTAAACCCAAAAGAGGTTAGTTTCGGTTTCGTTCCAGAATTAAAGCGCGTCTTCTGGCGCAAATATTACGCTAGACACCGGTTTTATTTTTAGGATAAAGAGGTGACCTGCGCTGGTAACATACTAGTTACCTCGTATAAGCAGGAATAAGTTGTGTGGCTCAGTGAAGCCAGGACCCTAGATAGTCTCAGCAACTGGTATACCGGCACGCATCTCAGACTCTCACTGTAACCGCGATGTTGGAAAACGAGTAACACCCCTGTAGTGAATTGGAGTCGCGAATAAACGATTGCAACGACCAGCCGCCGCTATACACGCTTTCAGGCAGCCGTGCAAGGGCGCCGCCATAACCGGCCTTCAGTTTTTGTTCCCTCTCATTCCGTTCGCTCCACTTCATCATTACCACAGCAGGAAAGGTTAGTGCCATTTTAAAGGGGCCCTGCAATCATGTTTAAGCGTCTATTGTTTTTGCGGTTTCCACGTCTTTTGGGGTTCGGGCAAGCCAGCAGGCACGGAGAGAGTAACTAAATATCAATGCGTCATATTTTAACCGAACGACGAGAAAACCTCCTCCACCGACGAGGGCGACCCGCGGTACCGAATGCGCGCAAAATGTGACGTATTTGGTCCTGGGCTTACTACTGGTCAGAGCCGCTAAAAGCTCCTTTTTGGTCGAAATACAAAATATAAGTGGCGCGAAACGTTTCAGTTATTTATAAAAGTAGTTTTTGTTCAGTATTTTAGATCAGATCAGAAAAGAAACGAATGCAGTTTATAAAGTACGGAAACAAGAAATGACCCGTCGACATACCCGCCACCAAGCGGTGGAAAAGGCGGCGCATACTAGAGAGGAGTAGTGGGATCAGCCGCCGACACGCGAAAGGTCCCGGATGTACGCGGCGGCGCTGTGGTCGTATGGACAGGAGGATCCGACCAGCTCCGAGCGCTCCGAAGGCCTTCGGCGAGAAGCTTTGTCTTGCGGTTTGGCCGTTTCGCGGTATGGCAGCGCGAAGTGGCTCACATTCTGAACTGATCTTTATCCCGTGTTTGCTGTTGTTTGTGGCTAATGAAGTGTCATGCCGAATTAGTGTTTAATCGCGCAGCAAATGCAATGAGAGCCGCTCTGGCTGCCCGCTGCGTACAGCCTATCCAGAACATGATTTAGTGGCGCCCTCTCGCGCCGTCGACACGGAGTGCGTCAGCCGTGAACACTCGCTGAGCTCACTACCCCTCCTCTAGTTCACGGCCGCTCAAGCAACCAAGGACGTCATGAGGGAGTTTAATTTTTGCGTGTTTTTGTAATTCTAATTTGCCTATAACTTTTAAAATAAAGCGAATTTCGAGAAAATAAAAGTTTCAGTAAGTTACTACGTTCAGTGAGCTCAGGTTTGGTGCAAATTAAAAACCAGTAAAAAACTCCTTGCAGGGCTCCTTTAACTGTTACTGTGTCCTTCACCCCAGCATAGGCCCTTGTGCAGACTCGTCAACGCCCGCCTCAGTCGCTCGGCATCTCGGTAAGACAAGAGAAGGTCGGCTATGGTGGCTCAATCTGGCGCACGCTGCAAGTGCCTATATGTCTCGTATTGTGTCGGAAAGCCCGTACAATTACAAGCTTCCCAAAGCTATATCCACGCGCACGCCGCACGAGCTTGCACGTATGAGGCACCAGTAGAGGCACCATGCTTGGAATCGTCTGTTCTCTGGAGTAGCCAAGTATCGCGAGAGTGTGCGATCGTACCGTGGCGAGGCGAGCTTGGGCGTGCATGGGGGCGCCTAGATTGAGAGAGCGTTCGACTAAATATGACAATCACGTGGTTTATGGGTACCATTACGTGACTAACTAGAACAATGTTGCTTGGTCGCCAGACGAAAGGAATCCACATTCGTAAATTTATTATTGCAATTACTAGAACTCTAAAAACCGCGAAGCTTGGTGTATATACGAAGTAACCCATGAGTATTCGATTTCAAGGATAACCTATCTGTTTAATTTTCATATCCTAACCCATTTAGAAAGGCATTTCCTGCTTTGAAACCTCGCATATCTGAAAACGATGCTACAGGTGGTATTGCTTGGTGACTCAAACGGCCCAGCTGCTGTCGTCGTTCCACTGTATGCTAGGTCGTCAGGTGGTTACGCCCAAACCCGCAGCTGCAACATTGCGATCGTGTGACCGAATGCACGGAGAGAAATCTAGGGATCAGTACTGGTGGTTTCCAGTTTTCTTAACATCTAATTGGTACGTTTAGCATTCGATAAAAATATCTAGCTTATTCTAAAAGTAACTTAAGTATTCAAACCCTGCCTGTGTCAAATGACGACCGCGAACCGGGCGATATGTAATATGGTCATAGCCACCATAGTGCTGGTGCCGGCGATGATGAGCGATTCTCCAGTTGACGTGGGCTTCTTCTGGCATGTGAGTGACCTGCACTACGACAAGGACTACGCCACTAACGGGACTCGAGATGCCATGTGCCACTACAGCCCCAACCAGACAGAGCACGATGATATCGGGCCCTATGGGGATTCTAGGTGCGATGCGCCCAAGTTGCTGATCGAGTCTGCGTTCAGTGCCATGCGGGATATTCAACCTGAACCTGATTATATACTTTGGACGGGGGACAACCTGCCTCACCTCCCGGATATTCCCTGGTCGGAAGTGTACTCAGAAACTCGCTGGCTCGGGGAGGTGCTTAGCCGCTCTTTCCCAAACTCCCCTATCGTGCCCACACTGGGAAATCACGACTGCTCTCCACCGAACGACATGCGCCCGGACAATATGTCTAAGTTCCTCTCTGAAGCCGACTTCAAGAGCCTCTTGCCCTCATCTGCCTGGGGAACCTTCGAGAAGGCGGGATACTACAGTTGGACTGTGAGTGGTACCCTTCGACTTGTGTGCCTCAATACCGTGCTTTGGTTCACAGGCAACTTGGCTCCGGTTGTCAATGGCAGCGACGAGCAGCTAGCCTGGCTGCACATGCAACTGCAGCAAGCGCAAGAGCTGGGTGAAAAGGTATATATTTCTGGCCACGTGGCACCAGGTTTTAACACCCGCGTCTTCGCTTCAGATGTCGCCGTCACGGAACTTTTCCGTGACGACATTAACGAAATGTACCAGGACCTGATTTCGAACTTCTCTGACACAGTAGCGGGACAATTTTTCGGCCACCTCCACGGGAACTCTTTCGTGCTCATTTCGGATGCCGATGGGCAGACAGTTAACTCTGCTCAGGTGACAGCGTCGGTCACTCCGTGGACACCGACAGTCCGCGATCACTGGAGCGTGTCTGTGCCTACTCAGCCGATGGTGCGCCTGTACAAGTACGACCGTCATTCGGCACGACTGCTCGACTACACTGTCTACTACATGGACCTGGACAAGGCAAATTTGCGCTCACAAAATCACACCACTTGGGGCGCTCTATACACGTTGACGACGCAGTACGGCGTGCCTGATGCCAGCACCGCTTCAATGGTGGCGATCGCTGAGCGGTTGAGGAGTGATTCCTTGTTCTTAGACATGTATATCAAGCTCGGCAAGGCCTTCAAGGACGTTGTCCCCTGTGATTCTTTCTGCCGCAGGGTACAGTTGTGTGCCACGCTCGCAGCAAGAGCAGTGTATCACGCGGCGTGTCTTCAGCTTGATCAGGGCAATGAGTCTCAAAAACCGCGGATTTCGATTTTGGTGGCTGTTCTGATTGGGGTACTCGGGTTAGTGTTTATCGGTGTTTCCATAGTGATCCTGCTGCGCTATCAACGAGGGCGCATGGTGTGGAGCCCCTCATGAAGTCCCATTCAGACTTGTAAATGGCCCATTCCCACACTTGCGTTTGACTACAACCAACTGACACAAGACCGGTATTTAAGCCTCTTCTAACGTCTTACGACCAGCTCCGCAGCAGCGCATTCGATCATAAGTTGTTGCAAGAGGCTTAGAAAATGGTCTTGTCTCAGTCAGTCGTTCTCGATTGCAAGTGTGTGAACGAACTTAAAGTCTCACTGCAGAAGCAGCTTGCAGGAAAGAAGAACATCAGCGAACGAGAGCTTTGCATTTTTTTTGACATACCTAGATTGGGCATAAAGACCCTAGTACGCAAGCGAGGCCATTTTCCACTGCTCCGCTGTCCTCTGGGTGGAATCTTATGTTTGCTAATGGAGAAGATTTATAAGACACCTCGTTACATGCCTGGCCTCGTTGTTTGCTTCCAGTCCTCCTACAGGGAGAACTGGCGTCAAACGAGCCTCTGACTGCACACCTGCGACACGCAATTAATATAAATATACACTGCGCACCGTAGAGAGGGATCTGCCTTTTTGAAAGACATAAACACTATGGGTTTTCAGGTCTTGTTTGTTTTTATAGGAAATTGAACTCATCGGGCTAACAGACGACATGTACACGTTACTGTAAAATTAACTCAAAACTGTTACTCGCTACTCGCTGAAGATTTGAATAAGTACTTCACTTGTTACTGAGATTAAAAGAAAAGAAGTGCTAAAGATTAAAACTAACTGTTACTTTGAGGTTATTGAATGTGTCTTTTCTTTTTTTAAAGTTATAGCCTCTTTCTAAAATCTTGCGTTTTTAATAATTGCGTACGTTTTAACGCCTTCAGGGACACACTGAATTGCCGCACTACCGATATGTTAAGTGCGGTTATAAGCATTTGTTAAGTGTGTGTCTAGAAACGTAAACATGACAGAAATGCATTTACTCGATTATTCGATCCTTTGACGCTCTGCCTAGTTGGTGACATAGTTGCTGACACCGAGAAAGGAAATGCTCTTCCCGAAACGTCTGTGCATTAAAGTCTTATTGTTACTCAAATTTCTCTCACGTGCTTTAGAAAAATAAAATGTTTAACTAGAACTTTTTTTTTTACTTTTAATTCGCGGGCATGCAACTGAGGGGACGGAGACGTTAGGGTGCCCTCCGTGTCGTCTACGTTATATTTGTTTTTGTAATAAAGTGGAAAGGTTCCTTCCTAGGTGAGAACACGTTGAACTTGAACTTTTCCCTGAAATGTTATTTGGAGTCCACTAATCGGTGAAAAAGGCAGCTCGGTGTCATTGTCGAGTTACTTTTATTTAGTTCGTGGGAAAACCGAGTGCGGGGGTAAACTTTGCTAATGTCTGGTGTACAGTACGATGAGTTTGAACGACCTAGGTAAAGGTAGAAACTTGACTCCTCGGACGTGGAGAAGAAAGGTGGAATCGCAAGCAGGGAACTTTATGTTTGCGTTTTTCCTCTTGTACCTTAGATGAGCTCGCCTGCATGCCCTGTTTTAAACTAGGTTCGACCGGATTCAAGTGTAGAATGTTTCTGTTCGATCGAAACTGGACAGGGCAGATACACATAACGTGGAAGAGAACGCCTCAAGCTGTGAACGGAGCGAACCTCGTTTGTTTGCTTAGTTGAATGCTTACAAGAGAGAACCGATCAGAAATACAGAGTTCAATGAATATGTTCAGCGATAACTGTGGCTATGCAGACATACCTCGGGCACTAATTCTTATTGCATATCTGGCGTTTTCTCGCCGCGAAGGTGGCAGGCGCGGGCTGGGGTGAAATCCAGGTTGGGGAACTGGTGTTGTGCACGTTTCCCGCCAGAAGTAGCTGAATACCGTTGCTCGTTACTCTGACAAAAAGTAACGGAAATACGTTACTTCTTTCTTTTCTTCAAAAGTAACTAATTTGTTTTCTCGTTACTAAAATGTAACTTGGTACATCATGTTACGTACAAGTATGGGCAGCGAGAGAGAGCGAACCCGTTTAAAATTTCCAGATCACTATCTGTAAGATAGTGCTTTGGTGATGCATCGGGGCTCCTGACATTTCTTGGTTTAATATTATTACCGACGCTCCTTGAAGTATACTATCGCCTAAGTTATAGACTCAACGTTTGTGCGGTTTACTTCTAGTAAACCATTAAATAACGAGCCTAATGGCACAAATGCAGTCTGTTATTATCTGAGTGATTTTCCGTACAGATGTAAAACCAGGTTCCTTATCAGCTGCTTTTATATAGTGTTCATTATTACGTGAACGGTTTGTCAGCTGTGTAAAAAAGTTTGTTCTATTAAGTTTTGTTGAATTTTTCAGAATTACTAAATATCTTGACTGAGGGGCTAATTTGATTTCTAACTTTAAGTAAAAAGGATGTGAAAAATATACGCACCGGTGCCGCAACGCCAGGGGTGAAAAGCTTAGAGCGTAAACACTTTCGTATAGTGTCCTTGACATATGAAGTTATAGCCAACCGGCAACGGCCAGGCGACGCCAGCAGGGTGAGAGCGCACGGTTATACCCTGTCTCGTTGTAACTTGGTAAAGGGTAAACGATAAGCCCCACATTGCGTGCCGAAGGCTTCGAAATGCGCGACGTATACGAGCGCAACGCACACATATTAGAGCATGACGCAGCGAAAAGCCTGATACTTCTCCGGAGCTGAGGCGCGCTCCGGTGATAGACAGTCACATTCCGATTGGCCCGCCAGGGCCGTAGCTTCCGCTCTACTGGCACGTTATGCGATCACGGCTTCCTGGGATACCCAGTATTTCTTGCTTCAGACACTAGACTAAGCGGCGCCACCAGAGTAAGAGCTCAGGTTTGAACAATGCAGCCGCCACTCCCAGGGGTACCCAATATTTTTTGTTCACTAAATGGCACCAAACTAAACAGCATTGCAGGTTGCCTATAGCAAAAAAATGTGAGTCTTTGAAAGCGACACATTAAACCCGAGATAAACGAAAATAAAAAGGACGAACGAAACGTCTAATACAATGACATACTAGATAAATGCGTTTAGTGTATTTCGTCACTATCTTTGGTCGTTACACCAAGGTTACACTCTAACAAAAAGAACAAGATGCGCCGCTGGTGTGATTCCACTTCCGGCACTCGGACGAGACGGACGTGTTATCATGAGCTCCGTCGGAGCGGTGAAAACGGCCGCGTCAGGCCGTGGTACGTCTGTTTCTGGAACCACTGTCGATTATCAGATAATACAGCCCCAACTGCCAACAGGATACGTTATTACCAATACTGTGTTCCTGCACTGCGACGTAAAAGGACGATCCTACCGAGTGCAAGACTTTCGTCAGGAACTGGAGAGGCTGGATGTGATGAAGGACCTGGCAAGCGCCGGTCCCCACCAGATGAACCAAGTCTGGATGCTCCGGTTGCACTCGCTTGCGGCGAAGCAGAGGTTGGTTGACACCAGACATGTACAAGTTACTCAAAAAAAGTAATTAAGTTACTGAGTACTGACGTCAAAAGTAATTTGAGTAGAGTAGAAATTACTCAAATAGAAAGTAATTGAGAAAATTACTAATCACCGTAGAAAAGTAGCGAATTACTTTTGAAGTTATTTGATATGTTTTATGGTAAAAAGAAAGTATAGAGGTTTTGATTCGTAAGCGAAATTGTGCTAGCCAAATATGAATCGGCTTGTTTTTTTTTTTATTTTCACAGAAATGCTTAAATAGCTGGTTCTGCTTCTGCTGCCTAATTGTTTTGTACTTTCTTGTTTGTTTGGTCAATGATGTACTGCGAATGTGTCATTTTTACTTTGAGGTTTAGCACTGTCTGAGCTTTATTTCTAGACAGTGTTTGCTTGCTTACAGTGTTGCATAAAGTACATCTGAAAAGTACTTGATGTAAAGTAGAAAGTAAATGAGAGGTTTTGTACTTCAAGTAAAGTAGTGAGTGCTGCACCGGGTGCAATGTAATTGAAGTAACGTATATAAATGCAATATATTTCAAGGTAAAGTACCATCACTTTTAACAGAATCTTTCATGATGCCCTTTCATTTCCTATACAGTGTTTTTTTGAACTGGTATGCACTGTTCCAGGGGTAATCGGAGGTGCATCAGGTTTTTCGGAAATGGCAGCAAATATTCTATAAATTGAAGTCGCCACAGAGTAGTTGTTTTACTCTGGCTGACGAGCTATTTGACACAATCAACTTATAAGGCACTTATTTGTGTCGTTCTTATAGCCGCCATTACTTCACTCTGAGAAATGACCAGATGAAGTCTCTAAATAGCGCGTTTTCACACAACGATACCGTCATTTTTTGTTTTCAAATTCGGGGAATGTTAATTGAAGTCGTGAGTTTTACATTTCTTTAGAAAATACAAGTACATGTTCAGAGAATTTACTTCAATTAAGGTACCATTTTTCTAAACAGTAGTACATTAAGTGCCATGTACATAGAGTAGTTCCCAACACTGCTTGTTTATTATTTTTTATATAAAAAACGTTGGGGGAATTACTACAAGTTTCTCGAACGATCTTTGAATCTTTGAAGATCTGCATATTTTGAGTATTGGGAGGAAAGGCAACGCAAAACGGTAACCTTTGCGTTGCCCTCTAGCACGCGATTCTTCGAGTACAGCACAAACTACGGCAGCACCAGATGAGCTTCAGAGCAGGTGCTGCATTTTGTTGCCTCCTTTGAGTTAGGATGCAGTGTGTGCACCTCCTGGTAGTGGGCGAGAGTTTCCACGTTAGGGAGAAGCGGGGACCAGCCCTTTATTCAAATGGGTCATGTCTCCTTGAGCTTCGGGACACAGAGAGACGCCCGTCTTCGGCGCTAATCCCGCAGTTACTCGGCCTCTCTTGCGTCGTCTGTTCGCTCCCCGCGGCTCGTAGCAGTGTTGTTGCAGTGAGGGGGGGCTCGTAAGAATTTTGGGGGGTTTCGGACTCTCCAAACCATCTTCTCCCCCCACCTTCCTACGCCACATGCTTCCCCCTCTTTGAAAATATCAGCTGATCTTCCAACGTAGTGTTTCCTTTGTGCAGGAATGTTTGTTGATAGGCAAACCAACCACTAAAATTCGAAAGTAATTTGTTACTTGAGTAGAAGTTACTCAAAAAAAGTAATTAAAGTAAACTACTAATTACCGAAATAAAAATGTAATTGAAAGTTACTAAACCAATCAGAAAAGTAGTTAAACTATACAGTAACTTGAGTAGAGTAGTTGAACTACGTACAAGTCTGGTTGAATCAAGGAGCTCACCATCAAAGGGGGGCGTTGCCTCGTTATTGACGCGGCGAACACAGCCGTGAATCTGAAGCTTCATTGGGTCCCGTACGACGTGCCCAACAGCCAGGTGAAAAAGGAGCTGGAGCGCCACGGCAAGGTCTCCGAGATCACCAGGATCCTCTTCAGGGAGAAAGGATTTGAGGCTGTCGAATCCAACACCCGCAGTGTACGCCTGACCCTCAAGGACGGCTACACCGCCGACAGCCTCCCGCACGAGATCCGCTTGGAGGGGTGCAAGGTACTTGTCGTGGTCCCCGGACGTGCACCGCTCTGCCTTCGCTGTCGCCGAACGGGACACATTCGCCGGGACTGTTCCGAATCTGAATGCCGCCGTTACGGGTACGAGGCAGAGGACTGTGTCAAGACTTATGCCTCGATGGCCCGTGACCGCAAGACGGAAGAACAGACCGACTACATGATGGACGACGCCGAAGCGGAGGAGGCGGTCGGTGCTCCCGCCCTGGTCGCACTACCGCTGTCCGAAAGCATCGGGTCAGCTGCCACAGAAGATAGCGGTCAACAGGTCTTCGTGGCTAAGCCAAGCAACTCCGAGCATGCGCCCCAAGGTGCGGGAGCGAAGGGCGAGAAGAGGAAAGAACCACCGGCTGAAGAGCGAGCGCTCATAGCGAGCGCACCGAGGGACTGCGAGGACGGCAATGGTATTCGTGACCCCAAGGCTCCCGTGCCGGACACGGACGTTGTGATGAGCCAGGTCGTTAAAAGACTACAAGACCCAACGTCATCCCCGGGAGACGCTGCAGCAGGGAAAGACGTCA